CGGATTCGTACGCGGCGGGCTTGAGGAAGCACTGCATGTCGTCGGGGTTGTACACGTCGGCCACGGCCTCGATGCTGGAGGACCAAACGATGCGGCCGCGCGAAGAAGGGGGGTCGGTGGACCGGCGGGATAGCAGCGGCAGCAGCTGGTGGGCGAGGACGTAGTGGCCGAAGACGCACGCGCAAAAGACTTCGCCGAGGAGCGGCTTCTCGGGCTGTATATATCGAAAAGCGTGGTCAGCCGCCGCATTGCTCGAATGGATGAGGGGACTCCCAGAAAAAGTGACGACAACTTACGTATCCATAGCCCTTCTGCTCGTTCAAGATGCTCGTCGACAGCGAATTCTTAAAGTTGGGATACGTCACGGCCTGCACCAGCCCCTGCGACAGAATCGCCCAGACGGCCTTTGGATAGTTGCAACCGGACCACCCGCCGTACGCCGCATTGAACACGACCGTGTCCAGCCGCGGGATGCGCACGTTCCGCAGGTACTCGCCCTCCAGGCCCTCGGGGTTGCTCAGCGTGCCGCGCACCAGCCTGTCGGCGAAAGCATAGACGCCGCGCAGGTCGCACAGGTCCAGCGACGGGCTCAGCACGTGGATGCGCCGCGCCGCGTCCTGCCAGCAGTAGCCGTCGCCGGCGCGCGACCGCAGCGCGCTCGAGGTCCGGGCGGCGAGCTCGGCGTGCGCGCGGAGGGCCTTGATGGCCAGCAGCGACTTGGACGCCGATCGCGTCGTCGGGATGAGGATGAGGTGCGCCTTGAGGGACCGCGTCGCCAGGAACTCGTCAATCAGGCGCTGTCCCGTGCCCAGCCCGATGCCGCTGCGTCCGGTGCGGTCCTGTTAGCAAACTCATTATCTGTCGGGCAGAAACGTCCATTGGGTCGAGAGGAGAGCAAAAGAGCTTGGGGTTGGCGATGTGATCGCGACACGAGGGCACATGCAGATCAAGCGCAGGTAGAAGAAGGATGGGAGGGCTATAAGCACTATCACCTACCTGTTGGCGCCCGTAATCAGGACAAACAGCTGCTCCTCTGGCCCAACTTCCTCCCACGGCGCCACTGAAGCCGATGCCTCCATCCTTGTATAATGTGTCTTGTCTCTTGATTTTCCTTCTCTTTAAGGTGCTTTTTTGTAAGACTGCAAATTGGCAATGATGAAACAAAAAGAAAGGCAATGCTCAGCCAAAACCAGACGAGTGTCACAACAACACGCCGCGTCGCCCAAAGAGAAAGATACAAGACAGAGAAAGGAAAGGAGGGAGCTCAATGGATGAGGTGGTGGATGACGGAGCCAATGCTAAAAGTCCGAGAGCTGTACGGAGAGTTTGCTGCCGAATCGGCTGTTTGGTAGGTAGATTTGACGGCTGAGCGCTAGGCGAGGCGCTTGCTTTTTAGTGCAGTGCTGTGTAACGAGCTCTCGTCCCCGAGCGGACAAACTCAATGACCCTTGCATGTGATGTGGCTTCACCCCCCTATTTCTGTCTCACCCCACACTGCGACTGACGTTCGGAGGATGAAAATGGTGTGGCACTCTGTGGCCGTTTCGATCGGGGTAATTGTTGACGCACTCGATTCAGAGTGCTGACTCTACTATTCTGCTTCACACAAGTCGTGGGCAAGCAACGCTACATACAGAAGGTGACAGTCGAAGCTTCTTGTGTATAAGCTATCTACCTACATGGTATCGAGAGACTATATAGAAACATTCATCATGACACATGTTCCCACCATATCCCTTCAATTTTCCCTCCGTCCCATATTCCAGGGAAACAAACTCAGAAAACAATATAGAGAAGCACTGGTGACCACCCCTTTTAAGCAGTTTCGATTCGCGACAAACCAGTGGCGTTCCCCGTGTATCCATTGTATGACTTCATGAAGCGCGTGCCACTCCTCTCTACTCTCTCGACTTGCTCTGTCCCTCTCGGACAGCTGCCAGAATCAGCTCCTTGGCCTTCTCTACGCCTTCGCGAGTGCCCAGAATCTCAATGGCCTCATCCTTGGCCTGATCTCGCGGCACCTGAATCTGGCAGTTGCTCTGGTTGCGAATAGACTTGACCTTGCTTCCGTTGGGTCCAATGACGAAACGGTAAGTCTTAGGGTCGGGCAGGATGAGGTATCCCGTAGCGTCGTTGGCCTTGGCCTGCTCCAGGTTCTTCATAATCAGCTCCTTGGCCTTGGCGACGTTCTCGGGCGTTCCGCGAAGGACCCATGGGATATCGCCCTCATCGCCCGCCTGGAGGCTGACGACCTTCCAAGAGTGAACGTCAGCTGCGGCGTCTGCATCATCCGTGATCAGTGGCAGGGCGCCCTCAACGGCCCTGGCCGACGGCGTGGGCTTGGCCGGAATGCTCTCGCCGGCGTGGTCTACCGTCACCTGGTAGTTGTTGCGAAGCTGGCGGAAGATCTGACCGTTATTAGACACGACGTGGTGCAGGTTACGAGGCACCTGGAGAGTCTCGCTGTGCTGCTGCTTGATCAGGCCGGAGATGTGTTCCTTGGCCTTGGCAACGTTCTCGGCCCGTCCAGTCACCTTGACGCCAGTCTTGCCGTCACCCTGGCGGGGGATGTCGATGGAGACGCCAAACTGCGACTCGAGCTGGCGCTTGGCATCGCCTCCTCGTCCGATGAGCGATCGGTGCTGGTCAATCGGCACGTCAACAATTTCTGTCACCTGGCTCTCACGCTCGGCAACAATCTCCTGGATCTTCTTGATAATCTTGTTCACGACTTCCGTCCGGCCCTCAATCTTGATGGTGTTACCATCCGACTCCTGCTTCGGGAACTGGATCGTGCGGGCAAGAGCACGTCGATCATCAGAGCCGCCGGCTGAGGTAACAATGTCGCGGAGGGTGGAGCCTATAGCAGTCACGTTAGAGACCAGATAATCATATGGTGAGGGCATGGAATGCTTACCGCCTGCTCCAATGAGAGCCTTGTGGTGTTTCTTATCAACCTCAATCGTCTCAACGACGGTGTCCTCAAACTCGGCTCGCTTCTCCTCGAGAATCTGCTTCGCCTTCTTCACCTGGGAGGCAGTTCCCTTGATGGAGATCTCAACAATGGGAGTATCTCGATCTGCCGGAACATCGATTCGAGCCCCGGTCAGCTGTCGAAGCTCGTCCAGAGCGGCACCGCCTTGTCCTATCAGCGAGCCGACTTGCTTCTGCTGCACTCCAACCGTGGCAGTGTGAGAGTGCTCCTCCAGGTACTTGTGCAGCGAGTAGATCTCGTCGCGAGCCTCATCGGCGCCCTTCTTGGGTCCTCGAATGATGACCTCGTCCGGAGCCTGCTGGCGTCGAGGCTTGCCAGCCTCGCTTGCCGCCTCACTGGCTTGATCATCTCCATTCTTGGCCGACTTGGGGAAGAAAATGAGGACCTTGTACCGGTTCTGCAGACGATTGATCTGGCTGCCACCGGCACCAATCAGCTCTCGGTGGTACTTGGGATCAATCTTGAGAATGTGGGTGGTCTCGTCAGCCAGAGTCCGGCCGAGGTTCTGGATGTATGTTCGAGCTTTCTCGGCCTTGGCCTGGGGTCCCTTGAGCTCCACCTTGCCGTCCTGGACTTGGATCTCGACGTCGAACCGATCACGGAGCTCCTTGATGTTGCTGCCACCCTTGCCAATGAGATGGTTGGCGAACTTCTGGGGGAAGTCAAAGGTCAGCGTGTAGCCACGTTCCTTCTCGTCAATCTTCTCCTGCTCGATGAAGGCAGTGGCCTTGCTGGCGAGGGACTCAACAGCCGACTTGGGACCTCGCAGAGTCACAATATTGCCGACCTTGGTCACGCGAACGGGGATCTGATACTCATCGCGGCTCTCCTGCTCCTTCTTGATAAATCGGCGAAGCTTCTCGTGGAATTTGGCTGGGACATCCAGAGAGATGGCGATGATTGCCTCTTGCTTGCTGATGAGACCCAGGATGTGCTTTTGGGCAGCCTCCAGAGCTTGCTTGAAGGTTTGCAGCTCCGCTTCCGAAGGCTTGGCACGGGGAGGCTGGTAGGCACCTTCAGCAGGATCGGGACCCTCAAAGACCAGAAGCACGGGAGTGTTGGCTTCCGATGCGTCTGGAACAACAACCTGAACACCAAACTCCTTCTTGACCTTGGGAGTGATCTCATTGCGCAGGTGCTGGTGGAAGAAAGGGTCGACAGCAACCGTTTGCATACGCGACGGTGGGTGTCCGCTGAGAATTGCAGTGATTTCCGACTGCGCACGAATGGCATTCCTACCCTCGCGAGAGTACAGCTCCCAAGGGAGGGCGCCATCCTGAGAGAAGGGAGTGTTGATGTGCGTGTTATACTGCTTCTCCAGGCGCTCAATCTCCTTGCGCTGGCGAAGGTATCGGGTGACATTGGCAGCATGGGCCAATGCTCCTCCAGGTGCGTTGCGGTGGGCCCGCGAAATGTCAATGTTGGACATTTGCATACCCATGGCGAGTTCCATGGCTCTCTCGAGGCCGGCCGGTACTTGGGAGGGGGGACCGACGACGGTAATCGTATCGTCGTCTTCCTCCTGGGGGAACACGATGGCACAGCCAGTCTCCCTGAAGAAGTCTTCCATGGGAATGCCTCGCTGTCCAATGATGAACTGGTGTCGGCCTCTCTGGATGGAGAGCTGTTCGGCCTCCAGCTGCCTCTGCAGCTCCTCGACACGACGCGCAATCAGCTCGCGGACCCGTTGCACAGCCCTGCGGTCACCGGCAAGCTGGATATGCTCGTCATCCGCACCGGCAGGAGCAAACACGGGCCGCTGACCGGGGCCCGGCGCAACGGGAAGCGGCGCGGACGAGTACAGCTGATTAGTGGGGACGCGGACCTGGACCCCATTGGCCTGCTCAATCTCATGCGCCAGGGAGTGTCCAGGGCCGGCAATGAAGGGGTAGAAAGCGGTAGGGACCCCCTGCACTCTGGTCTGGACGTTAGCCGATCGCTCGTTGACGATGTTCTCAATCTCCTTCCGAGCAGCAGCGGCAGTAAGAGAATTGCCCTCGACAGTGACGAGGACGATGGCCTCGTCATCCTGCTGGTCAACCGGCTGGTGCTCATCGGCCTTGGGCATCTGGATTCTGGCACCGGTCTTCTCCTGGATAGCCTTGATAGTAGCACCACCCTTGCCAATGATGAAGGGGCGGGTGGACTGAGGAATGGGGACCTGAATTGTAACCTGCAAGGCACATTAGTTGAATGCTAAAGGAGGGGGAGTTGCACGTGCATACCTTTGAACCGATTTGAGCAACCACGTCCTTGAGTGCCTGTTGAGCGACTGCCTGAGGGCCAGTGGCCTTGAACTGGAGCTGGCCATTGTTGCCCGCAGACACGGTGATGGGGATATGAAACCTCTTGCCAACTTTGCTGAGAATGCCCTCCATCGCCCGTTTCATTTCGGGACGAATATGCCCGGGATCGAGTTTGATCAGCTCCTCACTGATTCCAGGAATCCGCACGGGGGCCAGGCGAGCGGGGGTCGCAGAGCCAGACGCCGGAGTCGACGAGGGAGAAATGCCATTGGAACCGCCATTAGCATCGCTCCTAGCGCCCCAGATGGGAACAACACTGGGGCTCTTGCCGCGAGGAGCGCCAAGCTCAGGGAACAACTCTCGTGACTGGGTGTCGAGAGCAGCCTGCTGGCGCTTGGCAGCCGTCTTCACGACAGAGGGTCCAGGAGCAGCAGCAGCAGATTCGCCATCAACCGGCTGGGAGGGCAGTTCATCGTCTGGCGCGTCCTCAACAGTCACATGGTGCTGTTGAAGGCGCTGGGCGACAGACTCCTCGCCGCCATTGGCAACGACAGCAGGGGCAGATCCTTCCGAAGCCATTGTAGATTTCGAACCGAGAGACAGACTAATGAATTCGAGTCGAAACCGTTGCGGATGGAAAGATGCTGGAGCGCTGGATGATGGGCGAAGAGCGGACTTTTATACCTAAGAAATCGTCAGCGGAAGTTCAACCACCTTGACATATTTAAGCTTCAATGCCACCGAGCTGCTAGACTCGGTGACTACAAGTTCACCGAGCTACTAGGCCCAATGGCTACATGGCGGGCATATCGATTGGACTCACCACCTGATAAGACGCTGGACAGGCGAAGAAAGTCAGGCAGATCAGCCTTTGGGGGCTTTGCAGTTGGCGGCACAGGAGAGTTTGACGAGTTGCGTGATGGCGTTGCGAAGAGTCCGTGACGTCTAGAACATAGTAAAGACAGCCGCAGACGACGAGTACCAGAGACCAGAGGGAAGAACCAGCAGACGGGGCGGCAGAGCAGAGCCGGAGCAGAATCGCAGGAGCACAATGAGGCTTCGTGTCGGTTTGAGGAGTCAAGGTGGAAGTTCTACAAGCTTCTCGTAATGCCACGATCGACTTTCTGGCCCCCGGAGCCACTTTTGGTGGCGGCTGTCCAATTGGCGCCAATTGCACCGCCGGCGCCAGAGCTTCCGTCTCAGGTACTCCATACCTCTCTCGTCACCTTGAGAGCCCCATTACAATGCGTATCGATACTGATCTGTAGGGAGGTGCCTTGGGAGTGGCTGTTCCCCATTGTTGGGGAAGCGATCACGAGCAAAGTCATGTGACGAGATTCGAGACCCTTGACAGATTGAAGATCATATTGGGCCCATCAAGGGAGCAGCAATACATAAGTCGAAAGCCATGAAGTTTAAAGGGCATGGATTGATGGGATCGTAAAATTGCAAGAGCTTGGGTTGATTGTATAGTATTTTCGGGATTTCATCTGTACTCTGCTTGTGGGAATATCCCCAATGGTATGATGTTGGCTTGGCATCGTAGCTCAACCCTTGATTATCTGATTCGTCTAAAGTATAAGGTAGGTTGGCTTTTGGATTGAATCCAAGATGCAATCGATAAGAGTTGGACTGTAAACCTGCTGATTCAATTGCACAAGCAACACAGCTTCCACAAGACGGATCTTTGCGACAGCCACGAGTGTGCAGAGCAGCTACGCGAATGCCATGAATACTCAAGAAGGTGTTTTACCAAATGGTCCTTGGGATCGCTCAATCTAGACCGCGGCCATGCAGGCACTGACGATCACGCTGTGCCTCTCCAGCTGCAGGGACTTGCGCTTGTCCTCCACAGCTGGTGCTACACGCCGGGGGAAAGAAGAGGTTCCCAACATCTTGAAAGTTTCTCCGCGCCCTTGTAAGGCCATGGAAATAATGCCTTCAACGACCATCTCCTTCTGCATGTGGCGGGGGCAGTGAGGGCGGACTCGACTGTCTTGTGCTACATCCTTCGGTACGGTATCTGGATATAACGGCAGTACGGGACTTAGCTGTGTCGATATACAACTGCCGCGATGCCTCCTGTTGCAAGCCAAGCCTACCTTGCCTTGAGCGGACGCCAAGCAGCCAGATTTCTCGTCATGATGTTGCCCATCAATCTCGACTTCCGCAAGGGACAAGCAGGTTGGGCCGTACGTAAGTACACCAAGAACTGCCTGGTATAACACGCCACTTGAGACAAGGGGGATGAACTGCCCTAGCTCAACTGTCTTGTGAGAGGTACAAGTTGTCTCTGTGCATGCGATCGAGGGGTCGACGATGTACCCAGACAGTGATCAAAGGGTGGCGGCGAGAGACAAGTCGGGCCCTCCATCATGTCATGTCTGCCCATGTGCCTACCTGAGACCTAAACCTGGCTATGGGCTGGCTGTAGGTCGCGGGAAGAGGAAAGGACTCTTTGCTCCTCTTGTGCACGAACGAGATCCGTCTGCTTGAGTTCGGACCGCCCAGTTCCCGTCGAAAATAGTCTCCGGTAAGGGCGCTAGGCTTCGCCATCATCTGTCCGGTGTGTCTGAAGGAGACATTTGCCGCGAAATCAAGCAAGATGACCCTAGTCAGATGGATGCAGCTCGTGAACTTCCACTTCAAGTCGTTGGGTTCTGTGTAACGCTCTATTATTTAGAGAGAGAAAAATGACCAAAAGACAGGCAAAAGTATTACCACTCAAGATCAGGTTTCCTATCACTCGAAGCAAGCAATAGAGCATCACGGCACAATCTTCGCTGATGGACTTGGACAACGGCAAAAGCTGGTCATGGAGAGAAATTGCATGGAATGAGAGCGGGGTGTTTCAGTGTCGGCCCCGGCGTGATGAAACACTGCGACGGCTGGCCACCGTTTTGCAGCAAATTAATGAGCTGAGGTAGAATTGTGTTGTCGTATGGACGGATGCCCCCTATCCCAGCATTGTCGTGACAAGTGATATATCGGCCTCCCTGCATCGTGAGCGATCGGTATGGATGCAGGGATCGTCCAAAACCCGGGGCGAGCCTCGCGTCTGCAGCAGGGCCGCGCCCAAACGAAATAGACCGGGCTCCGTTCGTGCTGTTGGTAGCTCTGATATGACATGTCCAACAGCAGATCCCAATAATAACCACAGCGATGCGTTGGTGGCTGCTGTGCGGTCCGTTTGCTGTGGGCAGGGTCCGGCAGCCACCGCAGCCTTGCGTGAGCAGAGAGCAACTTCACGGCAGCAGGTGATAACACGATCAATGCGGTACGCTCAAGCCACGGCCAGCACTTGGGCGCCTGCGGGAATTTTTCGAACAGAAAAAGGAAAAGAAGGAGAAAAGCTCCTAATAAAGCCTTCTTTATGCTCAGCTTTTAGTGCCGCGCCGTTGATGGTTCACTCCACAGAAATCAAGATCCGTCATCAAGTGGCTTTTCTGTCATTGTCTTGGTCGACGTGAAATCGTCCAAGCCAGCGCAGAGAGGAATACTACTACCAGCAGCGCTCGGTGTAGTAAGATGGTACTCGAAGGGGATAAGAAGCATGTGAAATACTGCCACCAAGCCCGATTTGGTGCTTCTCCAAACATTCTTTTTGTTCCTTTGTTCTTTTTCTTCTCTACTAGGGCTTTTTCGAATTTTCAATTCTCTTCCTGGCAATTGAGTTTTTAAACTTCTTCTCTGGTTCCATTCACGTCTGACATTGGTGCAGTCTACGGCTGGCAGCGTTGGCCAATAAAGTGATGCTCGTTCAGAACCGTAGGGGAAATGGCGTTGACCTCCATACTGGGCATCGATCTGCACCAGTGACGATTTCAGCAGAAATCGCAGCACGAGCTTCCCCGGTCCGTGGCAGGGGCTGGTTGAGGACAATCCCAGCAGATACGAATGAGCTCCGGCTGGGGATTGGAGCGAGCACCAGATGGGTCGTCGTAGTGCTTGTTTTGTGTGTACCCAGGTATGTAATAATGCCTAATGTGCCTCCATCCAACAGCATTCGGCAGCATTCAGCATCGTGCAGATAGCGAGCACCCAACTGGCAACTGTAGGTACTTGGGAGCTGTCCGTCTGTCAATCATGCACTGTACTTCGTATCATCGTACCTTGACCTCCTCCGGCAAATATTACAGGCTCTATCCCAGCCCAGCGTCGACACGAGAATGAACAAGAACTCGCTGCGGTCCCTGTGCCACCAGACATCGAACGGGGCCCCTCCCCCTCCTTCATTCAAAGAGCAGCGCTCACCAAGCTTGACTGGTCGTCGTCCACCATGTGCCCGCGCCAAACTGCGCACTGTATTTTTTGAGCAACGGATTGAAGCACCAAGTACCGCGACTCGCACATGCAAGCAGGCAGACCAGAGTCTACGTGTTGTTGATCCATCACCACGCCGCGGGTGCGTGAGGGAGACAGGAGACACGGGCCTCCGACGAAAGGGCCATTGCTCGCTTACATGCCAATAGCAACGGGACTCGAACGGGTTTCTGCGCATTGTGGCTCGATTCCGTGCGGCGTCTTATTCAGAGGCCCAGAGCGCTCGTGGCGGCATTGTTCCGTGGCTGTTGGACGGATACTTCTTTCTCCAACACACAAGTGCGTGTTTACGCCAATGGCTGGTTTCTGTAATCTCCTAACCCATGTGCTACTGCTGGGGCGTTCTCTCTTTCGATCCCAAGTGCAGCTAGAATCTGACTCGAAGTTTAGGAAGAGAAAAAGCCTGCTTATTACAGTATCAAGATGCAAAAATCCGTAACAGAAGAGATGCTCTATGGGCATGGCACTGTACAGGACAGTACCACGGCGACCCACGCACTGCACAGTGCGCCTTCGCTGCGAGCCCACACACGCTCGCGCCCCTCGTGGGCCTATTATCTCTTGAACAATCTGCCACTCGATGGGGCCCAGCGGGCAGGGAACAGATAGTAGTATGTACATACAGTACTGTAGCAGCGCAGCCAAATTGAAGGTGGACGGGATCTCGAGAATCCTGGGACGGCCTGTCAGTCTGGCTACCTTTTCCTCTCGATTTCCCTCCCATTTCACGTCTCTTGCTGCTGCTTTCGCACTCTACAACTACAGCTGTCCGCAAGTACCAGGCTGAAGGAGAAGCGCCTGGCTGATACCTTAGTGCTCCGTTAGCAGCGACGACTCCATCAACCGCTCACTATCTGCCTCGCCTTTTCCCCATCCAATCCCTCCATCCCTCTGCCTCCAGGTCCAAACAGCTTCAGACCCCCGGCTCGTCCTATTGTCCGCATTCGCCCGTCTGGCAGTTGGATTGTCCGCAACGGCAGGCCGCGCCGCCTCTTTGCAGCCAAAGGTTCCCTTTTTTTTTTTTTTTTTACAGCACAGCACAGCACAGCACACGCCCCCCCGAAAAAAAGAGAGCGTCCAACGGACGGACGGGCCACAGACCAGTGACGGGGGACCCTCTTGTGTGGGCTGAGACAAAGTCTTAGGTAAGGGTGCGTGCTGGACAAACCCATCATGGACCGCCAGAGCCCGCCGTTGAACGGCAATTCCCAGCGTCGCAAACTCGTCAAGCGGCCCCCCTCGCACCAGCCCTACGG